CGGGACTCTTACCTGGACTGATTGTAATTTTAGCAACTTTGCTGGCTTTCCCTTCTAAGATTACCTGTAAAAATACACAAAAATGTAAACCGTAACTGCTCCTTACGATACAAACAATACTACTGTCTCGTGGTATATACATGACTTCTTACATTATGGGATCTATTCTTAATAATAATAATAATAATAATAATAATAATAATAATAATAATAACACCTTCATTTAGACACGATAATGTCTAAACCTGAACAGCTTGTGGGGTCGTGTGTAAATCCAAATATACTCTAAATTAAATAAATTCGAATGATGATGGTTTCTAAGGAGAGGGGAAAACCGAAGTACCCCGAGAAAAACCCCTCGGAGCAGAGTAGAGAACCAGCAAACTCAATCCACTTATGACGCCGGGTCCGCGAATCGAACCCGGGACACATTGGTGGAAGGTGAGCGCTCTCACCACTACGCCAACCCTGCTCCCTTAGAGATTTTCTCCAAAACAAAAAATCAGTAGTTCCAGTTGTACAAGTTTTCAAAGTACGACTGCTTTCTCTTAGGTTAATTGTCAGATCGTTCAAGATGCAAAAAGCGAGTAATACCAATTAAAATAACTGGTATACTTACATCCTTTGTCTTAGTCAAAGCTCTTTCATACACAATGTAATTCTCTCCGCTTTCAAGTATTTCATTTTTATAATTTGCAGTTTTTTCACTGTCACCAACAGTAAATTTCCAAGGTTTTTCAATCACTGGTACATTTTCTATCTCAGCAGCAATATAAAAGTCAAAGTAGTCTTTCTTTGCATCACTAGCAGCTTTCAGTTGCGAACCATAATCGCCCGGAAGCTCTTCAACACCATCCACGACTTTCAGAACAATGACCTGGTAAGCACTGAAAGGTGAACAACGAAATGCATTTACATCTAACACTCATCTTATTTTTTATTTAATGTATCTAAAATTGGGTCCACATAGGAGACAAAGTTCCCACCTCTTGAGCTTATCTCTCGCTCTGTAACCTTACCTAAAGTTACCCCAGTTATAGAGCGTTGACTCAAGAAATCTCATCGCCCTTATTGGAGGTGGCAATTAACAACTATGAAGCCAATACTGTGAGAGCCCTACAAATCTCCTGAGACTCTAGATATGCGTTTCCTTATAGTAACTGTAATGTGCCTTACTTCGTAAACGAACCTCTTTACCTATTAGTGTAAGTCACACTCTTTTGATTTAATTACCTTATGGGGCCATTTTCTTGTTCAACAGGCCACAGATAAATATCAACAGCTGTGCCAGAAACCTCAACATCGGTCATATTAAGTGGTAAAGGGGAATTAGGAGCTGACAAAGAAAAAAATTAATGAATTTAATTTTAATAATTTAATATTTAGTATTTATATTGCCCAAATTAACATGTGGATATGATCAAATACGCATCACAACACTTTTCGGGGGACTTTGGCCGGACTGCATCAGCAGTTTACAAACAATCGAAGGAAACTTATTTGAAGATGCCCCCTCCCCTCTCCCCCAATTCCTAGTAAACAGGCCAGACCACATCACAGTAATCTCGTGAGTGGGTTCTTTATCGTCCCCTGCCTAACCAAATTGACTCGAACCCTCCACCTCCCGAACAACAGTCCGGCGCTCTAAGCAATTGAGCTAACCGGGAGGCGGTTATATTTTGTATTGGTACATTGGTACATGTACGTGTTGGCAAGACAGGATTGACCATAGATAATACTCATGATCCATTTCCTAACTGAATTCATTACTTGGGATTGATTCATATCGATTAGAAACGATCTCTACGAGTCCTCTCTTTCACCAGAATGTTTTGTAAGAAATATCTACATACTCACCCATGATGTGTGTTGTGATGTAGACACTTTTGTTTGCAGTTTTTCCACAGTCAGAGGAGCCATAAATCTCAAATTTGTATGAAGTGCCTGGAAATAAACCTCTCACTGCATACGTTGTTGAATTTGTTTTTTGGGCACCAACATGTTTGAAGCTTTTATCGTAAAACTTTGTACCATTGTAATTCACCTACACGATGTAAAACAACAGGTTTAGATGAAGCATTTCTTAACATTGACATTAAATAACACCGAATCACCACCTATCGGTGCCATAAAATCAAGCGCCAACGAGGATCAATCATCGTTGTGCTAAGTTTTTCAAACTGCTTTGCTCTTGAAATCCATAAAAGAGATACTGAAGCTGATGATTTAAGATTGTTCCATTTCCATTTTCCTTTTGGTAAAATACATGGAATTAAAAAATTAAATATAGGACACAACTTAACCAAAATATATCATTTGAAGCAAACCCAGGGTCCCGTGGTATCCGTTAGTTCATGAAAATGTTACTTCTCGAAATGAATTTTGATTAATGCAAATAGTTGTGGATGAAAATACCTAAAAAATTTCCTTTGAAGTCAAGCTAGGTTAATAACTTTGATATGATCTTTCAAAAACCATTTACAGCGTATTTATTGGCCTAATCTAACTTTCTTTTAGCTTTCCCAACAGAAAACATAACTATCAGTTTAGCCCCACTTACAGTATAGGTAACTAACTCTTTACTGTTGGAATGTTTCCACGTCAGTGTAACGTGGGTTGTTCCATAGCTTGTTGCTCTAAATTCCCCCGGTGTTTGTGCTATTTTGGTGCAATGTTGAAAAAAAAAAGGAAAAAATATATCAGACCCTTCAAATGGAATGGAGAGCATTTGCAGAATACTTTAGTGCAACAATTTAAGCTTGTAATTATGAAACTATTAAACGTAACCAGGAAACGTTTAAAATACAGCCAAACTTGTATGAAGCGGCACCGTATTTAGCGGTCAACCTGTATCAAGCGGTCGGTTGCCAAAGTCCCGAGTTTGTTCCCCTTAAACACACCAATCGTCACCTCTATTTGGCGTTGACCTCTATGAAGCGGTCGAGGTCTCCTTTTACTAAGTCCCAAAGGCTTGTTTGGTTTTTCTTCTACGGTCACTTAAAGCCGAACCACTTAAATAAACTTATTAAGAATAATCTTTCAGGTAACATTTAATGCATGTTTCTTTTCCAAGATCAAAGCAGGTAGTATTTTTGAGCGAGATTCTGTACATCAAGAGGTCAGTTATGGCATTGAGTTGCGTTTTGCATCGTTATTTATGGTACCCCTAGTCTATGAAACCTATATAAAGCTGTCGCCCCCGCCTGAAATTCGTTTTATGAAGCTTACTCTCGTGACTTCATCGCCCTGAAGATAATCTAAGCAAAATATCTTTTAGGGAATATTGTGACTTATCAAATACCTCATATCAGAAATTCCAATAGTAGATATAAAATCCTGACCATTGCTAAACTTACATGATGTTACCAGTTCCAGAGGCTCGCTATACGGCCCAGGCCCCGCTCCAGTGTAAGCTCGAACAGAGATATTATATTTATAACAAACCATGAGGTCAAACAGGACAACAAAAGTTTCCGACGTATTGGCAGTGAGGTTATTGGGAGCAAACCAGTTGTGAAAATGTGCTGTCCACCAAACGTCGGCCCTGACTTCATACAAAATAACTCTTCCATAACTCATTTCATTCTGAAGGGGTTCCCATGAAATGTTAAAAGTCGTCTTGTTCAATTGAGAGGAAAAAAGAGAATCTGGGCCAACACTGGGTTCTAAGAAAAGTACATATAGCTCATCATGATCAAGAGAAAATGCCCTTCTTTAACCTTTAAGCTATATATTTATATAGCGAATAAAAAGTCTGATTGCGATGATTTCCTACACGTTATTAGCCCTTAAGTTATTTTGGGTGGCCAGCTACTGTCTGTACTTTTAATCAACACAATACATAAAAATTCGTCTTTTCTATGATACAAATATGATTATATCAGAATTCTTGTAATCAGCCATGAGAAGTCATTTCAAAGATATGAAAGCAAAGTTTACCATATTCCTTGGTAGTTACAGTTATCGTCCCATTTACTCCAGGTTTAACAGTCACAGCTCTGACATGAAAACGATAAGTCATTCCACCCAACACATCGACCGTGTGTCTCAATGTATCTTTGTCCATTACAGGAATCCCTTTTGGTGCACCTCCACCGTGACTGTAAAATAAATTGTAACCTCTGATAACTCCATTTAGCTCTGTAGGCTTACTCCAGGACAAGGTTATTCTTGGACCATGTAAATTGCTGGGTGGCACATCAACAACAGCCAAAGACGTAGGCGCACTGGGAGCTGGAGGAACAAAGATATTGTGATTATTAATAGAAGAATGATATAGAAAATCGTTACATTGTAGTATGTTGTAAAATGTAATATAATAACGTACTGCTCCCTTATTTAGGTGTTCAGGTATTGGCCTTTTCATAGAGAAATCTAAGAATTATATCGGAGACAAGTCCATTTAGGTAACTCAAAAACTCAAGTCATGAAAGCAAAGTTCAGCTGATTATTCGCAAGGCACGTCAAAAAAGAAGATCTCTTTTCAATACCGGCCTGAAGTTCAAACTTGAAAGCCAACACCCTAAATCAATCATTAACATCATAATAATGTCAGCAAGTATTACAAAAACGTAGATTGAAATGATGGTTGAGGCACTTCTGATTCTCACCATCTTCCATAGTTTTTGTGAACACAGAAGAAGTGTTCGGACCATTACCAGCAGAAGTAAAGGCCAACACTTGAAATTCATATTCAGTGTATTCATCAAGGTTTATGACTCTTTTTGATGTTTTTCCATTGTTGATAGTCAAGAAGGTTCCAAAACCCGAGTCTTTCTCTTTGTAGAACAATTTATATCCTATTATGATTCCATGTCTGGATTCCTCGGGTGGTAAATGCCATGAAGCTATAATACTGGTTGAAGAGTTCACAGTGACATTAAACTGAGAGGGAGGTCCTGAGGGAGCTGTAATAGAGCAGTCATGTTTTAATTGGCATTTTAATAAATGAATCAGACTGAGTGTCATTTTCCTCGACACTATAAAGGGTGGAGCTGACTCACAGCTTTCACTCGGAAGTTTTTATTCGGAAAGATATTCATAAACGCCTTCCTTAAGAGAGTGACACATTTAGTCGTAGAGATGTCTGATTTTTAAAAGAAAAGGCCCAATATGGAGGCTTGATCAAGGTGCATTTAAAGTCAATGATGCTGGTAAAGTTAATAACAGATTTCCAACAGACAAGAGCGGAATTTGCTATCATAATTTTGATACACTTATTCTTTATTAGCAAACTTCTTTAAAACTGTGTCTTTTGTTTGTCACTTCTTTTAAGTCAATTAAAGCAACTGTGGGATAACAAGTAATTTAATTGTAGATTCCCCCCTCCCTATTACTTATTCTTACCCATTCGGTAAGACATAAAGGTACAACATTGCATGTGCCTAGGCAGCTTTTACTGTTTTAAAAGAAATTTAAAATGTAAGAAATCTGATCGCTGTACATAACATGAACAGATTTCAAGTTAATAGTTGAATTAAATGTGTTTCCTTAACTTGTAACTTTCAACAGTGCCACCACCCGACTTAAACGTTATCCCTCTAGAACCATCAAGAAACAGGACATTTTAAAGGACAGAAATTTTTATAATAATACCCTGCATGTACAGGGACAGGTTTATTTCTATAAAACTCAGGAAACCATATACATCTGCCATAAAATTATATGTTGGAATCTAGATTGAGGTAAGATCCATCACATCAGAGATAGGGCAAACAAACGCATAGACAAAGTTTCATAAAGTGTGTTTAACCTCTTCTTTAGGCCTGAATAACATTCTATAGAAACATTTTTAGCATCCAAAAGTTTCTTTTTTTCATAAAGATAGATAGACTCCTATTTCTTACCAGCCTCCTTTGTTTTCTCAAAAATAGTTGTACTTTTTGGTCCATCTCCAACAGAAGTGAATGCCAATATTTGAAACTCATATTCCGTGAACTTGTTCAGCTCAGTCACCTCTTGAGTGTGAGTTGCCTGATTGTTAATGGGCTGCATCCTTGCTGGCCTTGAAATGCCTCTCTTTTTGTAAAACAATTTATATCCTGTTATGACTCCATTTCTGGAGTCTGCTGGTGGTAACTGCCAGGATGCTGTTATACTAGTAGAAGTGCTTGCAGTTGAAGTAAAGTTACCAGGAGGCTGTGAAGGAACTGCAATTGAGAAGTCGCATTATGGAAATTATAATAATCATAACGATACACAAAATCATTGTGGTCATCGCTATCTCCTTATAATTATTAATGATAGACTTGCACATAAGTTTTTCCGCTTTTAAATGGTATTTATATTCTTCTTGCAAATACTTTTTAAAAATTTGCCTATTCTTACATAATTTACTCAGTTAAATTCTGTAATATATTCGGATTTTTTTTTTAATTAGCTAATTTATTGAGGGCATCTGTTAAAGTGGTCCTAAGGATCACATTGAGAATTTGAGCATTCATGTATACATGTATACATCTGCATTTTTCATTTCATTTGAGAAAAACAAACATGCATTTGGTCTTTTATTTAAAGCCATGACACTTTTAGAAGATAAAACAAAGAGCTGTCCTAACCATCTTCGTTTGTTCTCTCAACAACCATAGAGCTATATGGTCCATCCCCAACAGAAGTAAAGGCCAACACTTGAAATTCATATTCTGTGTACTTATTAAGACCAGTGACATTTTTCTTGAAAGTTGATCCACCGTTGATAGTAAGGATGATTCCTGACCCTGAAGAGTCTTTCCTTTTGTAAAACACTTTAAATCCTTTAATAATTCCATTTCTGGAGTCTACTGATGGTAGTTGCCATGATGCCGTAACAGTGGTGGAAGAAGTTGCAGTGACATAGAAGTTAGATGGAGGTCGCGAAGGAGCTGCGATTGGATAATAGTGTATTAATTAATGTCTAATTAGCTCTTAGGATGTTTGAAAACTTCATGTCACACCTAAACTTGCCACATGAATATTATCGCTGTTGCGTCTTGGAAAAGTAATGACTTGATTCCTAAATTATCTTGTTGTTTAGTTTTCTCATGGCTTACTGTAATGTGCGAAACGAAACGAAATGAAAATCTGTAACTTTCATAATAGAAATCTGTAAAGAAAATCGTTAATATGCTTGAAACTCAAGAAAATGAAAGAGTTTGGATCAGTTCAATCTTCCCAGCCACCCTCATGTTTTATCCAGAAACAGGCTGCGCCATTTTGCAAGTGTATTTTCGGTCAGGAAAGTGTCTTGTCTCGCGCACTCGAATAATACACCTACAACGTACATTGCTTACTCCTTTTATGCACCACAGGTACAGCGCCAGTTATTATTTCGAATAACATTTGCTCCTTTTGGCTTGGTGGTGCAACTCTTCTTTCACGTAGATAACGCATTGATTTATTCACAAACATAGTGGAGATTTCGCAAAGAACACCACGGAGATTTTTCATTTCTCACTTTCGCTAGTTCTTTTTTTTATGATTTGGTGGGCTGCGTATGCACTCCAAACTCGTGGTGCACTGACCGATTCATTCTTTAGCCTGGGGAGTTCCCCGCAGACATTCTTGTTTCGCAAATTACGGATTTCCATTTCGCGAATTACAAATTTCTATTTCACAAATTACAGATTCCCATTTCGAAAATCATTAACAGATTTCTATTTCCAAAATCAAAGATTTCTATTCATTTCAAAAATCATTAACAGACCTCTATTTCGCGAATTACAGATCTGTACTTCGCCAATTATTAACAGATTTCTATCTCGGAAATTACACATTTTCATTTCGTTTCGTTTAGTTTCGCAAATTACAGTAAGCCTTTCTCATCACGTGTTTGGCATCTCATTAGCAAGCAACACTTAATGAAGGTGAAAAACTTCATAAAATATGGTTCAAATATTTTTTCATTATCTCTGGATTGTTACATACCATCTTCCATTGTTCTTTCCACTTCAACAGAACCTTTTGGTCCATCACCCTCAGATGTGTAGGCCAACACTTGAAATTTATATTCTGTGTACTTTTCGAGCCCAGTCACATGTCTGCTTAATGTAGATCCACTGGTAATATTCAAGAAGGAAAAACACCCTGCTAAGTCCTTCTTTCTGTAAAACAGTTTAAACCCTGTAATGTTTCTTCCGTGCCTGGCAAAGATTGGTGGTAGCTGCCAAGAAGCTGTAATGCTGATAGAAGAGGTTGCAGTCAAATTGAAGGCCGTAGGAGGTTGTGATGGAACTGAAATGTTAAGCAGCAACAGTTGTGTGTTTTAATTCTCTGTTGATTACTGATGTGAAAGTAAATTAATCAACCTTGTGGACTTAGAAAGCAATAGATGTTCTCAAGAGCAGTGTGGAGGATCATCAGCTGAGGGGACTGTGTGTATGCATTACATATACATTATTTATATCCTAAGCGTGAAAATGCACTCTACGAATGGTTGGGCAAACGATTGAGTTACAATGGCAATCTACTATGTTCCAGAATCCTCAGTGTAATTGCAATGCAACAATCACTGGATTATATCTAGCATGAATAAAAATAATGTATTATAGCAACCTACTGAGTCCAAGAATTTACCATGTACAATGATAAAATCACATCCTACATACCTACTAGGTTCCAGAATCTATAATGTACAGCACTACAACCACATCATACACTGTATTATATCAAGCATGAATAATAATCCAAGCAAAAGTTTATTTCATTTAGCAAAAGGAGAAACTTAGGAATCTCAGCTGAGTGGATAAGATACTTTAGGGTTTAAAAGAAATAAAAGGTAAAGACGGTTAGGGTAATTCTCTACTGGTCAGCTGTAAAGTTACTTAGTAGTAGTAGTAGTAGTAGTAGTAGTAGTAGTAGTAGTAGTCGTAGTCGTAGTCGTTAGTAGTAGCAGCAGCAGCAGCAGCAGTAAAACTTTATCAAAAGTGTCAAGAGCCGTCTGGCCGGGGAAAAATCCCTTACTAATTTGGGGACACTAAAAAAGAAAAAAAAGAGTAGGAGCTATTTACAGTAGTATATATATTATAACTGAGAAAATCTACAGTTAACTAATTACGGGATTTGTGATAAGAATATATAAAATTAAAGAGGAGCAGAGGCTACAGCGTGTGCAGCCATCATCCCAGAGCTCACTTATACGGAGATGGCATATCTTGTCTTTGAACTTCTTGAGGGTCTCGACCTCCCTTATACTCTTGGGTAATTTCCTCCATAACCCGGGCCCCAGAAGTCGTATAGAGTGTTTGCCATAAGTGACAGATTCATACCTTGGTGTAGAGAAATCGGCTTGCCTCAGATTGTACTTACTATTGAGTACTTCAAAGATGTTACTTATATATGCAGGACACAGTTTATGCTTTACTTTATACATGAGGATGCACAGGTCCTTTAAGCGTCTGTTTAGTAGAGTGCGCAAATCTACCCTCTCTAATAACTGTTTGTAACTAGAATTATAGTTCTTGAAAACTGCTCTAAGTCCTCTTTCTTGTAGTCTTTTAAGCTTTCGAGTGACGCTCGCTTTGCAAAAGTGCCACACTAGGTGACAATACGTGAGGTATGGTAAAACCGCGCTTTTGGACAGTATTAGCTTAGATTTCGAAGGAATTAAATTACGTAATCTCATTAGAACGCCAATTCTCTGGCTAGCTTTTTTGCAAATAGAGATTATATGCTCAGAGAAATTTAGCTTGAGATCTAACTCTACTCGTAGAAGTTTAATATTATCTTTAGTTTGGATTTCAACATCATTCATACAGATGTTACTGTCATTTTGAGTGAAGCCCAAGTTCAAAACCTGATAATTCTTAAGGTTTCCGCCAATAAGTTAGAGTCGTACCACGTTGTTGCTAAGTTGGCACTATCCTTTAACAGGGATATGACAGCTGCCTGATCTGCACCTGCATGGTAAATCTGGCGGTCGTCTACATACATAGACAAGTTCACTGTAAGGCAGTAGGATGGATCATTCTGGAAAACATTCCATAACAGCGGGCCTAGCGCGGAGCCCCGAGGACAGCCACGACTCACAAATCGGCTCGAACTAACATGACGGCTGATCTTTACTTGATATTTCCGTTCATTTAAATAGCTGCCTAAGAGTTGAATAGCGCTTTCCTGGAGACCGTACACTTTAAGCTTGCATAGAAGTAGTGATGGATGCAACGAGTCAAATGCCTTTGACATATCTGTTGAAAGTATTCTCATGACCTGCCTTGCATCCCTCGCGAGTCTCCAATCTTCTACTACATTGATCAAAGTTGTTTCCAAGCAGTGAGCTTTGCGATTGGCAGATGAATTCTGGTAAAAGCGGCTGCCCAAGGCAGTGTTGATCTGCGTTCCAACCAGCTTCTCAAGAACTTTGCCTACACAAGGTAAGAGTGTTATGGGCCGGTAGTTTTCCTTTGCATTCCTGTCATCTTTTTGTATACTGGAGCCCAATGCCCAAACTTCCATTCGCAGGGCCATGCTTTGTTGTCAATACAAGAATTGAACAAGGTGGTTAATGGAGCGGATAATTCCTTGGCACCAATTTTTAAGGCCTTGGAAGGGATGCCATCGGTGCCGGTGGCTTTGTTTGTGTTCAGGGAATCTAGAGCTGCGAGGACTTGACCCTGTGTGACTGGTTTTATTTCAATGGCTTGTGTGAGATCCCTGTTTTCGTATTGTATCCTCTGGACACAAGAGTAGTCCCAAAAGCCCTCAATTTACTCTTTTTCAATCGGTGTGCCACCGATGCCATCCGCTAAGGTAAGAAAATGCTCAACCAATTCCCCAGCCACCTGTTGTTGATCCGTTATCATACTGCCGTTTGTCATTTTGAAGTGGATGTCGTTTCTTTCAGCACAGCTCTTATAACTCAAGAATGGCTTTAAAGTCTTGAAAAATGCCTTAGGATTGTTTTTCAGATCGTTTGACATTTTATTCCAGTACTGTTGTATTGCTGTTCTCCATTGTCTGGTGGCCTCGTTCCTGGCTTTGCGTCTTAATTCCCAGTTTTCTGCTGTTTTTTTGCAAGTATTTGTCATTTACTTTGCGTTTGGCTCTAAATGCGCTTCTCCAATGAGACATCATGTAAGACAAGTCTTTGTCGCGCACATGCATTCTTTTCACAGGTGCCACTTCGTCCAGTATGTCTTTCATAAGTACATTCCAAACGTGAGCTTGATCGTCGACGTCATCAAACAATTGTCCACTATGCCATGGGGCAGAGGACGAAAGCTGGTTATACTGTTCCGGGTCAAAACTTTTATAGCTCCTAAAAGTGATGATCTTGGGTTTGTTGTGATTTATTTTCTGCTTCAAAAGACCGTAAACAAGGTCATGATCACTTAAGCAGGGATGGTAATTGCCAGATAGCTGGAAGCAATCCAGTGTATTAGGGAGCAATACATCTATTAAACTCTCTGTTATAATCGTTCCACGCTTTTCTATTCTAGTCGGCTTGGTAATTAGGCATTCAAAGCCTTTTTCGACTTCTAAGTCGAGAAGCAGTTTTCCTTCAGGTTTCTCAGGGCGCAGTCTGTTCAGATTTAGGTCACCAGTAACTGCGACAAAAATTTCTATTCAAGTTTGCCTAGTTACAAACATGACTGAGTTCGCTTCCAACACTGTTTGGTATTCACCACAAAGAGCTCTCGGGGGACGATAAATACCAACAATTACCATGTTGTACGTCTCTGTTTTGATTTCGAAAGCGATTATTTCCAGTGTCTTAAAGTCCTTATCAGGTTTAAGCTGTGTCTTAACTAGCGAATGAGATATTAAAGCCATAATTCCACCACCGCCCTTTTTCCTGTCATTTCGGTAGAGAGAGTAATTCGGAACTTTAAACTGAGCGTTGGGATAGCTCGCGTCGATCCTGGTCTCACTTACAAATATTACATGAGCGTTTATTTTCTTTATTACTTCAGGGAGTTCTTCAAATTTATTTTGAATGCTATTAATGTTCAAGTGGGTGATTAAGAGATCCTTACTGTGATGTCTCCTGAAGAATTCTAGCTGATCATTATCGGAAATACTTTCTGTGACATCTCTATGAGGAGACTGCTCGAGGGCGATGTTTTGAATTGTTTCACCTTAGCATTCTTCGGCTAGAGTTAGTGCATCCCTTTCAGAAACTTCTTCAAAGGAGTCCGTTAGTGGTGGTAGAGCGCAGGAAGGACAAGTCTATTCAATATCAGGCTGGTCTAAGTAGTATTGGAAATAAGCTAAATAATAATAATAATAACACTTATAACAACAAACATATGAAACATATGTATGAACTGCGGTTATGAAACGTATATGTGAACGATCCTTCGCAGTAAAGCACTATTTGAGCAATAGTGAAAATCAGACCTGAAAAAAATTTCAGGCCTGCACGGGATTCGAACCACTGACCTCTGCGATACTAGTGCAGCGCTCTACCAATTGAGCTAACAAGCCAACTGGGAGCAGGCCATCAAATTAATTCGACATAAACCCGTAGATGATAAATCAAACAACAACAAACATATGAAACATATGTATGAACTGCGGTTATGAAACGTATATGTGAACGATCCTTCGCAGTAAAGCACTATTTGAGCAATAGTGAAAATCAGACCTGAAAAAAATTTCAGGCCTGCACGGGATTCGAACCACTGACCTCTGCGATACTAGTGCAGCGCTCTACCAATTGAGCTAACAAGCCAACTGGGAGCAGGCCATCAAATTAATTCGACATAAACCCGTAGATGATAAATCAAACAACAACAAACATATGAAACATATGTATGAACTGCGGTTATGAGACCTTTATTTTANTGATAAAAAGCACTCTTGCAGGTAGAGTTGATGTGAGGCACCATAGTCATAGTATTGTCAAAAATGACGCCAACATTTCGTGCAGAATCTGATGGAAGAATCATTTCAGATCCTATTTTGAGGGATGCAAGAGCAGGTAGAGGACGATGTCGGGAGTGAAGAACCAGAAGTTCCGTTTTTTCTTTATTGAGCTTAAGTCTGTTTAAGGTCATCCATGAATCAATGTCAACGAAGCAGTCATGAAGTCGTGCCATTGTATTGTTGCACTCAAATTCATTGTTGTAGGTGAAGGTTGTATATAGTTGGATGTCATCAGCATAAAAGTGAAATGACATGTTGTGACGTTGCAGTATATCGCCAAGAGGTGAGGTATATAAGAGATACAGAATGGGGCTGAGAACGGAGCCTTGAGGGACACCACACAAAAATTCAGATACATCTATTTGGAG